AGCGGTCTCAGCGATGTTTACGCATCGGCGATTTTGCCCACTTTGAGCCCCATTTTTGGCCAATTCCACTGTACTAGTCGACAAAAAACATGAATATTTCGCTAGAACTCCATTTTTTCTATCGAATGAGTGCAAGAAACCACCCATTTACCAATTTCAACTATCCGTTTACAGTGGTCAGAATTTAGCAATTTTGCCAATTTCACACAAATTTCAAAAGATGCCAATTTCCGAATAGGGTCCAGAATAAACAAGAACGACATTACTGGCACTAAAATGACATTTCCTCTGTTCATTAGTCACATCTCAAGGCCCCTCTTACATTCTTTTGCTTTCCACTTTGAATTTTTATACTCACAAAAAATAGAAGATTTACTGTTATGCAGACTACTGCATTAGTGTGAAAAATGGTATAAATAATATTGGCGCACTTGCAAAAGAATATTAGACTCACCAGTTGACGTGTATTGGACGCTTGGCATGATTTGTTTACTTTTGAACTTTGGTAAAAATCGAACATTTCTGCTACTTTGAGCTCAATTTCAAGGTACTTTTCACTGTAAAACCAGTCAAAATCGTCTCAATTTCTGTAATATGTCTTCCATTCTATAAAATGAGACCAAGAAAACTAGAATACAACAATAAATACCATACGAAAATACAGTGCAAAGTCGCTGTTTTATTCCAAAAAAACGGTCGAAGTTTTTTTTTTCTCATTATGCACTCTGTGCTACAGGATTCTTTTTATACTGTGCACACTGACCACATAGACCCATTCTTTCATATGTAGGCCTACCAGCTTTCTCCCACTAGATTTGAGGGCGCTAGAATTTAGGCGTACTAGTACGTCAAAAACCCTGGGTCGTAAGTCGTACTAGTACGGCCGAAACCCTCAAAGGGTTAACTGGTGCAGTATTAACAGGGATGGCAGTGAACCTTGTTTTGAATTTTTCCCGGGCATCATTTACGTCCATGCAACTTGTTATCACTGTCTAGTCACAATTGTGTAGCCTATTTACCAGTGTTTCTTTACTGTAGTTTCTAGTTGACCTCATTTTTATTGTCCTGTGTAGGCCTATCCTATCCCTAGTGATTTTCCTGGTGCAGTAAATGATGAAATGATCACTAAGGCCTGTGGTAATGACGCCTGATTGACTAATGTTCTCAGTGAGGTTAGTTTGGTTGAAAACTGTGTGATCCGGGTTGGTGTATTAATTAGTTGAGTGTAACTATTTAAACCTAGAATTTGCTTATACCTTTTGCATAGTCCGTTATTTTGCTGTCTCGCAATTGTTTTCAAGTCCGGACAAGACACTGGAAAAGCCTTCTAAGAACTGGTCATGGGTTGGAGGGCGGTAACTAGCTCCTACTAAGATGGGTTTAGTCTTGGGAAGCAGCACTTCAAACCATAGAATCTCCAGTTTATTGTTATTTAAATCAGGTCTTGGATTGTAAGCTAAGTCATTTCTTATGTAAGCACATACCCCACCACCTTTTCTGTTCCTGTCTAACCGTTTTATATTGTAACCTATTTTGACCTCGTCATCAGTCACTGTATCATCCAACCAGGATTCAGAGATGGACATAACTGCTGCCCTAGTTCTGTTAGCTAGAATCCTAATCTCTGCCAATTTTGGAAAAAGTGATCTTGCATTGACATGAATAAATTGAAGGACTGTTTTCATAAAACAATTTTGATCATCAATATATGGCACTGGGTCATTTGTATTAAAATTAGGTAAACCAGTGTCATCATTGCTAAAGGGTAACTGTGCCAAAGTGCATTTGTTACACACAAAATGAATTTTGGTACCATTACTATAATTGTACATACATCCATTATGCACCCACCCCTTACACATTTTACATAAGGTGTCTTTTCTGTTCTTCTTTCATACTTTAGTACAGTGTATGCACCTATTTTGTGGTGTTTGAGATTAGAAGAATGGCTGTATTGTCTCACATTGGCCTATGCATGCATTACATATAGAGTTAAAGTTATCATTTGTAGCTACTAGACCGTCATTATCACCGTCACTTATCTGCCTGTTTGGCCTCTGCACAATAGTTTCAGGTCCTGGATTAGTTTGGATATCACCACTTAACAGCGCTACTATAAGAGCTGTGTGCCACTGTTTTTGTTTGGGTATGTGGTGTTGCCATACCTTGTGGCAATAGTGACATTTATGTTTCTGGTAGGAGGGCAGCTGTTGGGCTTTTACTGTCCATTTGCCTTTTCCAGCCCTCATGACTGATTTCCTTCATCATGGAATTGCAGGAGAAAGATAAATATAATTATGGCATTGTACCCCCCTAATGCCTGCCATTTTCACTCTTCACATCATACACAACAATATTTATTTCTCTTTCCCAGTCACCTAGCAAACCCTAGTAGCTGCTCTAGCAATCACCACTGATTTCTAGTAAATTTCCTGGTATCTACTTCAAAACCCTCTTCACTCCTCACTCCCCTCTACTTCACAAACCCCTTTCACTTATTCCCTTATTTCACACCCCCCTTCACACCTCACTTCACAGACTGGCTTCACCTATTACACTTCTAACTCATTTCCATTCTGGCAGGACCAAAAGTTTTAATCAATGGCTTTATCCGTCCAAATCCTCCTCAGTTCCATTTATCGGGGCTGCGTCATGCTGTTCGACTGCCTCACCTGGTCTACTGCCTCAGCCATTTTTAAAAGCACTGAGGGAAGGAAATGCCACCTACAACCTGACTTTCCTTGGAGTTTTATAGATAGATTTGGCATTTTCACCTATGATTCTCTCACTGTACACTGGTCAGCTGAGTATAGGTCAGCTACTAAAACATTAACCTTGACTGTTTAACTATTCACTTCTTTCCCACGATTGGCACTGAGGGATAACTGTTGCTATATAGTTTCCTTGGAGTTTTGTATTGTAGATTTGACGATGTCTCCTGTGTTTCCCTCTCATTAACCCTGGTACAGGTGATATGATGGTGGTGCAGTTGATATGATGCTACTGTCAGTACAGATGAACGTCAATATAGATAAGAATTTCACTTTGCTAGTTGTACATCTGGCAGTAGCTGTGTTTGGGTGCCAGTCAACCATGTTTAAATGCTCAATTCCTTCCCTCATTTTGTACTGAGGGAAAAAACAGTCCAACAGACATGTCATTTCTTTGGAGTTTTGTTGTTAGGTTTTCTCCCATGTTGTCTTCCCATTGAACACTGTGCAGTTGATATGGATGTCAGTTATTTCAGTGTAGTGGACAACGTCGCATGTTTGGTTGCACGTCTGGCAGCAGGTCTGGTACTTGAATGCCGGTCCCTCTTTTGGTCATATTTAGTCCAATTTGTTGTCGTCACCGTCAGTTTTCATATCACTATGGGTTCCTTGCATGTTGTTGCAGCAGTACTTGCAATTACGCCATCACTGGAGTTTGGATAGGCCCAGGGGACGGCAAGATATAGGAGCAGCCTTGTTGCTGCTTGCTGCCACTCAGGCAAAAAATCATGAGTGACAGTCTGTTTCTTGAACACTCTGGGATTTTCAAAGTTATATAACAGTAAAAGCTTCAGTTTTAAATCCCCACTAGCATTACCACAGAGCAAGAGAGTTAGCCTGTTTTTTGTAGGCTTGTGTCCTGGCAGTGCCTTTTCCTCCTGCATCATGTATGTCCTCTTTGGCATTTTCTTCCTAAAGAAGCCTGTTTCATCACAATTGAACACTTGTTGGGGGACGAATCCTTTAGCCTCTTATGTACTCCTTGAATTCATGCATGAATTTTTTGGCCGCATGTTTATCTGAACTTACTGCCTCACCATGTCTTACAACACTGTGTATGTCACTATGCTTCTTGAATTTTTCAAACCAGCCTTTGCTGCCCTTAAATTCACTAACATCATCACTTGTTTGAGGCATTTTCTTTATGAGATCGGCATGCAACTGCCTTGCCATTTTGCAAATTATCAGCTGCACAGTACTATCTCCGGCTAATTGTTTCTCATTGATCCACACTAACAGCAATTTCTCGACATCTTCCAGTGTTTGTGATCTCTGTTTTGTTATCACTTTAGCCCTTTTCGCAACCTCAGCTTCCTTGATTTCTTTTTCTTTGCTACGATGGAACTGATGGTTGATGCAGGCTTGCCGTATATCCTCACAATGTTGATCACACGTAAGCCACGTTCATATTTTTCAGTGATTTCTTTCTTTAATTCTATCATGTTTCTCAACTTCTTTACCAAAGGACTGGCACTAACAGCTTTGGGCTCATGGTGGCTTATTTAGCAGTAACACAGAATGAACAAGTGCAAGAAACAATGAATTATTATGAAGTAATTTCTGTGAGCTCACAGGGTAATGTTCACTCACCCATAATCAAAGCGACACTCCCTCCTCAGAATGTGCGTGTGGGAGGTTGTGTGCACGGCACACTCGGACATGTACTGTATCACTTACGAGAACGGAAGAAAGCAACGAAAACGGAGCCAATAATTTTATGGAAAAAATCGGCAATAACGGAAATGAGTGAAAACAGAGCCCAACGAAAAGGGAGGGTCCACTGTATTTTGATCATGACAGCTAAATGGGAATCAAAATTTCACACAATTTTACTCATAAAATGGTCATATCTTCACCCAGCTACTTGAATTTCACTTTCCACCATCGTCGAATGAGGTTGCACCTTTTTTGAATGTTTGAAGCTATGCCACTGACGGTACTTGAATCTTATCTGATCCATTTCTGGGTCCTGGGAATGGGTTCAGCAACTTTGGCTATAGGACACCTGCACATTACAGTTGTTCCTAGAATCTGGTCCTCATTACTTTACACAACAGGCAAAATTTTAATCCAGTTGGAGGAAGGGTTTTAGAGTTATGAGCCAAAGAAACCTGATTATCTCCCTTTCTCTAGATGCTGTATAACCCCTTCAGGTTTAATGTTTTTCCATGATTATTAATAATGTGATGTTTCAAAATCTCAAGTAATTAAGTTTTAAATGTTTTCTAGATTGCTACAAGCAACGGCCCGCCTACAGTACCTGAAACAATATCAGCCAGCACACGTGACCTGGCTCTTCGCTGCTTAGAGATCAAAAGTGAAAACCGACCACCAGCCAAGGAACTAATTCAACATCCATGCTTCAAGACACAGCCGCCATGACCCCATCCTCTCTCAGAATTGCCCATTGCTAATTAAAGGAGAAATTAACTTCACAATTCGTATAAAATATTTTAAAATTAAAGAAATTTAATACCAAGCAATAAATTGTATATTTTTTAAAGTTGCAAAATTGTTCATAATATAGTTAATCATACATGACAAATTGTATCATGATTTTTTTTCTCCATGAATAGAATTGGTGATGTTATCAGGTTATGGTACCGTACATGATTATTCATGTCAAGGAATATACAAAGCCTTAAATTGGCAATGCCAAATCGTTGTTGTTCCATTTCAATATTTACCTCTTAAATGTCATGAAAATCTGATAGTACAAATTTTCACTTTTACTTTCTGTTTCCTTTAATTCATTATTTATCAGTAAAGCTCTTCTCCTGATTAAATTGGTTAAAGGTGAGCAGGCAGAGCATATAGAGCTTGGTAAGGGACGTCTAGCTCTATAGTGTATATATTAACAGTATACACGTAGCTTAGTGTAGGTCATAGGCGGCCTCCTTCACGAACACCCAGCAGACTATGGAAACCTTGGTCAGTTCCATGGACATAATGACTCTGATTTTCCTTAGTAAAGTCTAAATTTGGAACCACCATGTTAGACTTCCAGGAAGAGCAGACAGTGTGAGTGCTCCAGTGGTACTGATTGATCTGTAGTTTGTGGGTGTTGGGAGGGGTAGTGTCCCCATGAAGGCGGAGTCGGGCCTGTCTGTCCCCAAGACTGGTCAGCAGGACCAAGTAATAAATTATGGCAAAACCAGTATGACAGAGCAATTTTTTTTTTATCTCGAGTTCTTCTTAAGATTTGCCAAATTAATTTAAGCTGTTACTTCTTATGTGGACTCTTAATTAATTTGGGTTTCTTGATCCTGTCAGACCAGCTTTGCTGGACTTTTAAAAAAAAAAGTTGCTCCACAGATTTCTTGAATTTTCCTGTGGGTAATATCAACAGCCTCTACAGTGGCATGGTGCTGTCATTTGACCTCACAATCTTCATCTTTATTCTCTTTATTTAGAGTAACTTTTATGATATTGGTGGGCAGCAGAAAATGTTTTGAAGTAATGCTAGCAGGTAAGCCAGTTCTCAGTTTTAAGAACTGGCTAATTTGTGTGTTTTTTCATCACTTATATTCTGCTTGTCATCAGTTCAGTCAGAGTTGCTTGTGTGGGTGTAAACAACTACTGTAGCTAATAACTCCGACTTTTGCCATCATTCAGTGAAATTCCATTGCATTTGTAACACTTTACAAAGTGACTACAGATCTCAGTGTAATTTAGGGGACCAACTTGTCTTTACTATTTATGTATTTTATTTAAATTATTTGTATTGTCTCCCTCTACTTGTTACTTATATTAATTACTCTTTTGTCCCCAGTTTCTCATACTTTACTATTTTTTAAGTATTCATTTACACCATTTCATGGTGAATCTTTTAAGACTGTTAGTAGTGTTTTACTACTACAATTTCTTGTGTTCAACACGTCTTTCTTAGTTGAGCCGTGAACAAAATTTTCCAAAAAATATTTTGGTTACTGGTGTGAAACACAAATGTAATAGTAAGGTTATGGATACTTGGTCTGGCTATTGGAGTGTGCCTAGTACCTGGCCATATTCATTACTTAGGTCACAATTTTGGAATAGTACTGAAAGTTAAAAAAATTTTTAGATTTAAAAAATGTCCAAATGTTAGGAAGAATGTTTTTTTTTTACACTTATTTATTTATTTATATTTTTTTAACCTGGTGAGCCCACAGAACTGTTACATAACTCTGACCTCTGTTCTTCTAGTGTTAAGAGTCAACTGGGGACAAGCACCTGCGTGTTTACCAGTGGGAACAAGCACCTGAATGTTTACCAGTGGGGACAAGCACCTGAGTTTACCAGTGGGGAGTTTGGGACTAACAATGCTTAAATTGAGTAAACTGGAAGTTTTTTATTATAAAACCCATATAGTACAAAATATTTCACAATTAAGATGTTTTAGTCTCCTTATGAACAAGAACTTCCATAGATGTTTTACAAGTTCGGGTGTATGTCCTCTTTGACGTTTTTGAAGTTATGTCAAAATTAAAAAAAGTGTACTTATTGTAAATTGGGATAATTTTTTTAATTATGGGCTATCCTCCACAAATTAAAGTTTAAGAGATTAAGAAACATCTGTTGCAAAAAATTTTCAAGAACCTCCCCACTGAAAAGTGCCTTAATTGTTTAATTTTAATCCAAATTCATCTGGAAGGGATTCTCTGCTGAATAAATAATGTATTTATGTGATGCCCATACATACACTTTAAATTGTACTCTAAATTGGTACCTAAAAGTTTGTAAAATATATTTTCATTACATTAGTCAAATCACTGAGAATCCCCTCATAAAGTGGCCAATTTTATATAGAAATGTGTAAAAACTAAATTTAAGTGGGTGGGAAAGTGGGCTATGTGGTGGAGATCACTATTTCCTATGCAGGATTCTGTTGTTCTTTATATATTAAGCTTTAATCATACTGTTTCTCGTACCTATTTGAATCGACTTTATATTGTCTGAGAGTACAAGATTACTTTCTGTATCTCCACCCATCCCAGGGACCCATACACTCCAGTTTCTTCAAGGTGCCAAATTGTACAGAGCACAACCTTAATTTAAGCTATTTTTCTACTGTTCATTGTTTGCATTTCTCAAATGAAACTTTTTGTGAATGTCTGGGACCAATTTTAAGAAAGCCTAAATGTTTTTTAGGTTTTTTCGTAGTTGATTTTTTGGTAGATTATAATATAAATTTAAAAGAAATAATGCATTTGTATTACCTTGAATATCTGCTCTGGCAATAATATTATTATTATTACACTTACAGGAGATGCTTTAAACCTGTAGGGGAATGTGAAATAATCAGTTTAAATCCAAGGACAGGTAGGATAGGTACAATTTCTTGGATGAAGAGCTTGTCACCATTATAAAGGCAGCCCCCTTTAGAGGTCAGGCAATAATAAATGATATAGTACTGGATTATTATTATTATTATTATAATCATAACATGACGTCGCGAGGTGACGTCAGCAGACATATCGAGGTGACGTCAGGCAGACATCGTGACGTCATGAAGTCGGGCAGCAGCATTGGTGACGTCAATGTGATGTGGGCAGCAGACCACAGCATGAGGCCTGGGGCATCTGGCAACTCACGTGGCTTCATCCACACCCCGCATGGTGTCGGGATCCACGTGGCTTGCTGATCCACGTGGCTTCGAGTGGCCTCGGGCACTCGGATACACAGCTCTGGCAATGAATTCACACAAAACACAGCAGAGGGAGTGATGGCATGGTGGTGTATGGTAGGCTAGTGAGGTGTGAGTGTACAGCAGGGCGAGCATGGGCGAGGCAAGGAACGGTCACTTCCTCCTCTTCTCTCCACAAACACGTGGAGAAACTCACACTGGACGCAGAAATTACCACAAAACTCACTTCTGGCTTGCTGAAATAGCTGTGCTGAGCTGAACAACAACAGCAGAACACATGAGTGATGCTGAACACGTGACTTGAGAAACAGCGTGGGACGCTGTAGCATGGGGTCACTGGGACACCACTTATAATTCTCGAAGATATTTGGCAAATTTCGGCTAAATACTGCTTGTACCTGTGTCTGGATGCTGAAACATGCAGACACGACATCAGGATAACTCATTGAGAGACGGATGCTTGTTGTGTAGGGTGAAGGAAATAGGATGAAGATGACTTCATCCTATTTCCTTCCTCTCGGGCAACACAACCGCTGCGACCACCACTTCCCACCAATGTAAAACAGATTATTGGTGGCTCTTGCAGAGCAGGGTTCAGTTATAGATGTCTTCAGAGCCTTCTTTACTTTATTTACAAATTCGTGGTGGGTACACAGGCTTGTGTGTTGTGTGCCCATGGCCCGGTAGGGCCATGCCCACGAGGGAGAGAGCTAGTAGGACTTGTGTCTTGCTGCTAGGCCGCTGAGTGAGTGAGCGAGTGTGGGACCAGCGTCCCCTGACTTTGGGCTGATCTAGAGGGCAGCATCTGAGTGCTGCAAAATATGAACTAAGCTGGCAGACAGCATAGGCTGTCTGTGCAGACAGTACAGGCTGTCTACAAATATCAGCAAAAATTTAACATTTCCACTACTTTGAGCTCAGTTTCAAGCCATTTCCAATACTAAAACCAGTCAAAAGCATCTCTATTTCTGTAATATGTCTTCCATTCTATCAAATGAGACCAAGAAATACAACTATAAAAAATATATGAAAAAACACTGCAAAGTCCTTGTTTAATAAAAAATTATGGTCTCGGGTTTTTTCTCTCATTATGCACTATGTGCTGCAGGATTTGGTTTATGTGGTGCACACATACCACATAGATGTATTTTCTCATATCTAGGCCAAAATTTACCACTCACAGCTTATCAGAGTGAGCTGAGCTCATGACGTAGATCTATAGTTTGGACCCTCAATGTAAAGCCGTAGATCTACGGCACGAACCCTCAAAGGGTTAGGTGAGGCTGTATTTGATTGTTAAACAAATATATTAGGGCATGTGTTCTCATTACCTGTGTGATTAGTTTGTGCATGTGCATATTTATGACAGCTACTGTGCAGTATTTAGATGTGATTTTGGTCTACATCCAAACATTTCAAATTACGAATACATTTTGGCATTCATCTTTACAAAGATAATTTGTTAAATTTTTCTGCATTCATTAGCAATGTATAAAATTAATATTTTGAAGAAATAAGGGTAAGGAAAGAGAGAGAGGCTAAAGAAAGGAGAAAAATTATAACATGAGAGAAAGAAACTTAACTTTGATGCTTTGATGCAGTGGATACCATTATTAACGACAATGTTTTGTACACTTCAGCTTCATGAAATCTGAGTGAGCAAAAAGCTGTCATTAATAAAGGAATTCCCTGCATCTTGGTGACATTCATTTCACCTTGTTAGTACAGTACTTAAATAGTATAGTAGTCCCCCCAAATTCGTGGGGGTTATATTCTGAGACCACCCGCGAATTTGGAAAAACCGCGAATTCTAGACGCGGTTAAAAAAAAGTCTATAAATGCTTATTTTTATAGTTTAAACCCTAAATATGCCCCCAAAACACTTTAATTTAATTTCAAACTCAGCTTCATACATCACCCTTAAAAAAAAAAAAATGTAAAGATAAACCCTTATACAGTGGACCCCCGGTATTCGATGGCATCGGTATTCGATAAATCCGGTATTCGATGCATTATATCGCAAAAAAATTTCCTCGGTATTCGATTGAAAACCCGGTATTCTATACGATTCGTACGAGACGTGTCCACGTGTGGCCTGAACTGCCCCATGTCTGCCAGTGTTTACTAGCCAGCCAGTGTGCGCGCATCTAAGGATACATTCGGTACATTCCATATTATCACTGTGTTTGGTGTTTGTTTCTGCAAAATAAGTCACCATGGGTCCCAAGAAAGCTTCTAGTGCCAACCCTTCAAGAAAAAAGTCGCTAATGACTTATGAAATGAAGAAAGAGATAATTGCAAAGTACGAAAGTGGAGTGCGTGTGTCGGAGCTGGTTAGGTTGTATAATAAACCCCAATCAACCATCTCTACTATAGTGACCAGGAAAACGACAATCAAGGAAGCTGTTCTTGCAAAAGGTGCAACTGTGATTATGAAACAGCGACCGCAAGTGTTAGAAAATGCTGAGAGATTGTTATTGGTGTGGATAAATGAAAGACAGATAGCAGGAGATAGCATCTCTCAAGCTATCATTTGTGAAAAGGCTAGGCAGTTGCATGACGATTTGGTAAAGAAATTGCCTGCAAATAGTGGTGATGTGAGTGAATTTAAGGCCAGCAAAGGTTGGTTTGAAAGATTTAAGAATCGTAGTGGCATACATAGTGTGATTAGGCATGGTGAGGCTGCCAGTTCTGACCAAAAAGCAGCTGAAAAATATGTGAAGGAATTCAAGGATTACATAGACAGTGAAGGACTGAAACCTGAACAAGTGTTTAATTGCGACAAAACAGGCCTGTTTTGGAAAAAAATGCCAATCAGGACCTACATTACTGAGGAGGAAAAGGCACTCCCAGGACATAAGCCTATGAAAGACAGGCTTACTCTGTTGATGTGTGCCAATGCTAGTGGTGATTGCAAAGTGAAGCCTTTATTGGTGTATCACTCTAAAACTCCCAGAGTGTTCAGGAAAAACAATGTCCTCAAGCTAATTTGTGTGTGCTGTGGAGGGCAAACAGTAAGGCATGGGTCACTAGGGACTTTTTCTATGACTGGTTACACCAAGCATTTGCCCCCACTGTGAAAAATTACCTAACTGAAAAGAAATTAGACCTTAAGTGCCTCCTGGTATTAGACAATGCCCCTGGTCATCCTACAGACTTCTCAGAGTGACTTTCTGGGGACATGAGCTTCATTAAGGTCAAGTTTTTGCCTCCTAATATCACTCCTCTCCTGCAGCCCATGGACTAGCAGGTCATTTCCAACTTCAAGAAACTGTACACAAAAGCTATGTTTCAAAAGTGCTTTATAGTGACCACAGAAACTCAACTGACTCTAAAAGAGTTTTGGAAGGATCACTTTAATATCCTCAATTGTATAAATTTGATAGGTACGGCTTGGGAGGGAGTGACTAAGAGGACCTTGAACTCTGCTTGGAAAAAACTGTGGTCAGAATGTGTAGACAAAAGGGATTTTGAAGGATTTGAGGCTAATCCTGAAAATCCTATCCCCCTCAAGGAAGGCTCCTTGACGCTGTGAGGGGCTCTTGATCTAGGGAATTGGATCTGTGCTCCAGTTCCCTGAATTAAGCCTGAATGCCTTCCATCCCCCCATAGGCGCTGTATAATCCTACGGGTTTAGTGCTTCCCCCTTGATTATAATAATAATAATAACTGAAAATCCTATGCCAGTTGAGGAATCCACTGTGGCATTGGGGAAGTCCTTGGGGTTGGAGGTTAGTGGGGAGGATGTGGAAGAGTTGGTGGAGGAGGACAGTGAAGAACTAACCACTGATGAGCTGCAAGATCATCTTGAAAAGCAAGAGGCCAGACCTGAGGAAACTGCTTTGGAGGATGGGATAGAGAAATTGAAGAAGTTGCCTACTTCAAAGATTAAGGAAATATGTGCAATGTGGCTTAAAGTGCAAACATTTTTTGATGACAATCACCCTAACACAGCTATTGCAAGCCGTGCTGGTGACTATTACACTAACAATGTTGTGAAACACTTTAGGGATGTCATAAAGGAACGGGAGGTACAGGCAACTATGGACAGATATGTTGTGCGACAGAAATCCAGTGACTCTGAAGCTGGTCCTAGTGGCATTAAAAGAAGAAGGGAAGTAACCCCGGAAAAGGACTTGCTACCTCAAGTCCTAATGGAAGGGGATTCCCCTTCTAAACACTAACACCTCTCCCCTCCTCCCATCCCGTCAATCATCACCAGATCTTCATTAAAGGTAAGTGTCAATTATTTTATTGTTATTATTCTATTGCATTAAACTTAATATTCCATGTAGTAAAATTTTTTTTTTTCATACTTTTGGGTGTCTTGCACGGATTAATTTGATTTCCATTATTTCTTATGAGGAAAATTGATTCGGTTTTTGATATTATCGGTATTCAATGAGCTCTCAGGAAGGGATTAATATCGAATACCGGGGGTCCACTGTACAGCACTGTACTGCTATGTCTCCTGCAGTGCTAGAATGTAAAATACCGATGTTACCCCCATATGTACTGTAATTTATGCAAACCTGTTTTCTTTGGTATACTGTAATTC